GTCCCGTGTTGTGCAGACCTATCCTATTTAAAAGTGATTTTGATTTATAATAAACTGACATAATGCGAATGTATGTCGTATATTCAGGTGTACGTGCGTAACGATGGGGAAGGTTGGGTAACAGCGACCATCGTCCATGTAACCTCCTGCGATGTTTGTTCGGCCAACCCAGGTTAGGCCGTCGCGGAAAGTCCAAGTAGTGCGTGAAAGTAGGCCTGCAACCGCTGATATAGCCTGAAGGCATTTGAGTCCACTGTTAAAGGTATTATTTCTAGGTGACGGATTTTTGTGGGTGCCATCTCCCGATTGTTTCCGAGTTAGGGGTTAGGACAACTATTTATCAACCACTCGAAGTACAACCGCGCATTCCCAATAGCTTTTCTTTTGCATAAAATTACTTGACCTCGTCGCCTGTGCGTTCCCCGGCCCCACCTGCAAAAACCCCTATTACTAAAGGTCCCGTATGACAGGCGGCTACATAGCCACATCTGATCGAAAATAATTGGAGTTTTTCATATTCTCAGAAATAAATTAAGACTCTTGTAGTACGTTTTTCGGCATAAACCTTCTCCAGTTCAGTCGATCATAGTACAAAATCGGCGAAACAGGTGTCTAAATTTCTAGCTAGCAGTAGTTTTTGGTGTATGGTAAACCAATCAGTTTGAAAAGTGGCCCCTTGCATTGCGTTCGCAGATCCCACTAGGGCCTGCTGCACCGCGATTCGGGACGACCCCAGAAATTAATGAGGAAATTTGGGAGTACTTGGCGATATGATGGGGTACACTATGGACAACGCTACTGCAACACATCACGAATCTGACTGAATTGTTTAAGCGAATCGAGGTCATTGTTGGAACGGACACAGGACGGGAGCGATGCGATCACACAGTGCGTGACCGATCTCATGAAGAGTTGGCCGAAATTCTGAAATGCGTTTTCGATTAGGAAGGATTACTTGGGTGAGGTTGTAATGATGCTTATCAAGCAACATACTCTCATAGTATTTCGGACTAGCTAGGAGGTCAGCTTTTAAATGCACTTTATTTCGACTTCCTACAGAAGCCACACTGGCTAAAACATGACTACATATGTAGCATGTATTTTTCACATTGATTTGCGATGGTCTTATAAATTTAAATATTTGTCATGGAAAACACTCACAAAATACGCTTTCGTTTACTTGTTTGGTAGAAAAATACATTGTCTTTACATTTTATACCCAAAAAAGCGTATATTTAGGTTATTAAAAAGTTTCCCAATTCCCCAATAATTTTGGGCCAGATCAGTTGCTGCATTACCGTTAAACGATTCCATTCTACAAGGTGCATGCTTTCCGCACAGTAAAAATCATCTATTCCTCTATTTCTTTAAGAAGATACCGTGCTGATTTCATAGAATTTTGCAGTGAATGTGTACTATGTAGTACATTTCACGAGGAGCATTGGTAAACGGAGATGTGCGACGCTGTATGTATGGATATCGCACGGTCTTAAAAATACAATGTTATTTTCTACCGAACAATTAAAAGAAAGCATATTTTGTGCGTGTTTTGCACAAAAAAATATTTGAATTTATAAGACCATCGAAAATCAATGGGAAAAATACATGCTACTTAAGTAGTCATTTTTACCGAGTCTGGGTTTTGCAGGAGATCGAGCCCGACATACTATGGAAGTTTGTTGCTTGATGAACAACATTGCAACCCCACCTAAGTAATCCTTCCTAACAGAAAACGCATTTCAGAATTTCGGCCAACATTTCATGAGCTCGGTCGCGCACTGTATGTCGGTGAAGATGCCGTTGTCCCTTACCCCTCCCGATCGTCGTTCGCACAGACTTTGTCGACATCTCTCATCTCCCTTTAGCAACTTCCACGACCCTCCAACGTAGCTGCCGACAGCGCTGCATTCCTCAGCGGTATTGTACCTGACATGACGGAACCACTTCCCACTACAAACGGCTTAGTTGTACATGCAACACCACCTTCCCTTGTATTTTTATATCCCCCTTCTTAATTCTGCTCATTTTTTTCTACCGTAACATGAATTTCGCAAACGTTAAATCCGTTCTCATACTGTATCTGTACATGCATGTTTGATGTGTTGTTTAACAGCTCTGTTCAGGGTTTGCATAACAGGAATACTATACCAGGTAATCTCTTCAACCTTGTATGTTATCTTACACGTCTTCGACCACTAAATTACTACAACCTCTGTGCGTCCATTACCCCTATCTGTGGCGGTCTCTGATGATGGGTTCGAGTCTGGATCCAAATAGTCAAGCGAATATGATTTCTAACTACAGCGACCGCGTCTTCTCTATTTCTTACTGGCCTTGGAGGCATCATTTTAAGCAGCACCAAGACTGACGGCGACATTTACGCCCAATGTTCAAAGTCCTCGGCAGGCTCCCCACTTCACCGTGGTAAGATGAACACGTACAATGGCAATCGTCCTGACAGTGTTCCGCTGTGACGTAGAAGCTGGGCGATCAATCAAGACACTCGTTCCAATGGCTTACTGGCACTTGGGACTGGCTCAGCCAACCGCGTTCGCCCGTGAAGGTCACGTGGTCGAACAAACGAAAATGGCGTCAGCTGACGGCGTATGACGCAGCACGTGGTGGAAAGACCCGGTAGAGGAAACGTCGCACGGCACGTGACGCACGCTAAGTGCACGCGCTGCGCCCAGGTCTCTCTGTCGCACCCGACGACAGGCTTACTCGATCTGTTGGTTAATTTCCGAGACTCCTGCCTTTCAGCTATTTGAACACCATTTTTAGTAGCGGTTCTTATAAAAAACTGTATCGCTTACAGTGCGTGACCGATCTCATAAAATTCTTGCCAAAATTCTGGAATGCGTTTCCGATTAGGAAGGATTACTTAAGTGGGGTTGTTATACTGATTATCATGCAGCATAACCCTATAACATTTCGGACTCGCCAGGATGTCGGCTTTTGAATGCACTTCTTTTTGACCCGCTGCAGAAAGCACACTCGGTAAAAAATGACTACGTAAGTAGCATGCCTTTTCCTATTAATTTTCGATGGTCTTATAAATTCAAATATATTTTATATAAAACATGCACAAAAATATGCTTTATTTTGCTCTTTTGGTGGCAAATCACATTGTCTTCATATTGCATGCCCGAATAAAGTGCGTATTTATGTTTTAAAAAAGTTTCTCGATTCTCGAATAATTTTCAGCCTGATCTGCCATTGCATCAGCGTTTAGCAACTTCAGTCTACTAGGTGCATGCTTTCCGCGTAAGGAAAATCATATATTCATCTACGCCTTTAAGAAGGTACCACATAGAGTTCATTAAATTTTGCAATGGATCCGGACTGTGTTGTACATTTCATGAGGAGCATTACTAAACGAAAATGCATCGACATCGCACGGTCTTAAAAATCTCATAATTAGAAACTTTTTTAAAACATAAAAAAAATTTCTAATTATGAGATTTTTAAGACCGTGCGATGTCGATGCATTTTCGTTTAGTAATGCTCCTCATGAAATGTACAACACAGTCCGGATCCATTGCAAAATTTAATGAACTCTATGTGGTACCTTCTTAAAGGCGTAGAGGAATATGTGATTTTCCTTACGCGGAAAGCATGCACCTAGTAGACTGAAGTTGCTAAACGCTGATGCAATGGCAGATCAGGCTGAAAATTATTCGAGAATCGAGAAACTTTTTTAAAACATAAATACGCACTTTATTCGGGCATGCAATATGAAGACAATGTGATTTGCCACCAAAAGAGCAAAATAAAGCATATTTTTGTGCATGTTTTATATAAAATATATTTGAATTTATAAGACCATCGAAAATTAATAGGAAAAGGCATGCTACTTACGTAGTCATTTTTTACCGAGTGTGCTTTCTGCAGCGGGTCAAAAAGAAGTGCATTCAAAAGCCGACATCCTGGCGAGTCCGAAATGTTATAGGGTTATGCTGCATGATAATCAGTATAACAACCCCACTTAAGTAATCCTTCCTAATCCGAAACGCACTCCAGAATTTTGGTCATCATTTCATGAGATCGATCACGCACTGTAGCTTTTAACAGATGACGGAGTCCAAATCCGCATGTTTCTATTGGAATACTTGCTTACTGCGTACATGTGAGAAGTTAGCCTGTTCTGCTTAAAGCTAAGCACATGAGCGTCCTTTCCGAAGGAGTGCATCCCGCTTTTCAACCGTCGAAAAGTTCTTTATTAGAACCTAACCGTTTATGTGCATTTGCCAACAAAATTGGTCGGTGGAGGTTATAACGTGAATTCATCAAAATCGGTAAGGGGTTTAGAAATTTTAGCCGGGCCGAAGATGGCACTAGTTCGGTTGTTAAAGATCCAAGCTCCAAGCATGATGTGTTGAGATTTCGTTATCAGCACGGTCCAGTCTTTCCTGAGGCGACCATTGGGCTAGAAAATTCATGCGCGCGTGTTGTTTTTACGGCATATTGGGGGGCGCGGATTTGCCATTGAGTGCCTGCACCTCCAGCAGGTATATAGGGGACAGTCGCCTTATAAAAATCCCAACCGTTGTGTTATTACCGAAAAAGACAAGGGAGACTGGAATCGTCATTTCTGGCGTATTAGCCGTCGTCAGCTAGTCATGCCCAACCCCGGAGTGTGGAACACCCGAGGCTCGAACTCGCGACCTGTTAGTTAGAAGTCCACGCCTCTAACCACTGGGCCACGAGCCCGTCGCCCTGTCGGTTTCGATCGGGAATATACAATGGTAGGAGGCGCTCACCGATCGTTCTTACGGAACTCACTCGTTCCGTTGTCCCTTACGGGCTCTCTCTCTCCCATACACTATCGATAGCCGTGTATTTTTGAACACGACCTGTCGTTATGATTATTTTCGTGGTTTCCAAGCAACGTGAAACAGAATCACACAGCTTTTTGTCGCCTTAGGGTGGCCTTCTAGTGTCACAACAGATACGAATCACGTTGTATGCTTTTTGAGAAACATTCGCAGGCCTGAGCACAGATGGTTCCGCGAATTGTTGCCATTTTAGTTGGTGCTGGTGATGATGATGATGGTGGTGGTGGTGGTGGTGGTGATGATGATGATGATGATGATGAAGATGATGATGATGATGATGATGATGATGAAGATGATGATGATGATGATGATGATGATGATGATGATGATGGCGGCGGCGGCGGCGGCGGCGGCGGCGGCGGCGGCGTGGCGTGGCGTGGCGTGGCGTGGCGTGGCGTGGCGTGGCGTGGCGTGGCGTGGCGGAGTAGGAGGAGGAGGGGAGCGCGTGTGAGCCTCGGGGCTCTGGCGTTCTGAGGTACGATTTCAGGGTTGCGCATCAATGTACATGCACTTAGACGGCGGAACGGGTTACGGCGGCCGCACTCGTCTGACTTTGGGAGGAAATCGTGCTGGCAGGGGGAGTGTCGGGAGGCAGCTGAGCTCGCAATGAGATGAAGAGTGAACCAGTAATTGCCTTCACATACTTTGTAGGTTAACGTGCCACATTAAGCCTGCTTGTCAGTGATCAGAACGTCAGGCAGGTTATATCAGTAATGCCGTTCCAGTTTGGCAGCAGTCAGTAGGTCGTGCAGCTGTATGCAGGGTTGGCCCACAGAAAAAAATGTCATGGCACCACAAGCGTGCGGAGTGCTCATACACATTGTCCAGCCGGACGCCAGGCCTGCCTGATTGTTCGGCATGACCGCGGCGGACACTGTGATCCGTCGTCTTGGGGGAGGAGAGTCAGGTTGAGGAGCCTAAGGTCCCGCCCCATCTGAGACCTAGTCAGACAACTTTTCTTTAACAGATTATATGCCTGCTGGTAGCGCTGTTTCCGAGAAAATGCAATCGGGCATACTTTTGCGCGGAGTTCACCAACAATCATGATTGACGCCGACAGTTGCAGTTTACGGCTACTGTGTCGACAGTTGGGGATCTGATGAGCTTCCGAAGAAAACCAAACTCTATTATGTGACCTCTGTCACGACATATTTCTGTGTAAATTTGTATATTTCTGAAACCACAGGCGTGTAATAACGCCTTTTTCCAGTGTTTTTACCGCCATTTCGACAACATGCGCATAAAATGTAGGACTTAAGTGAAACGATAAAGCAATAGCAGTATAGCCAGTTATACGACAAGTTCTACTTCTATGCGCTGTTTCACACACACACGTCATTGTCCCAGGCGAAGTCATGCCGGAAAAATCGTTACCACTTTCCAATTGCTCACAAAGGACAACGGGTTGGAAGAGGAGAATTGGCAGGCAGATAAGGAAATTGACTGTGCAGCGGTGAGGCCAACAAAACGCACTGGTGCAGATAATCACCTTGATCTCGACTTGTGAGATAGGGGAAAATATCAGCCGCTAATACGGCGATATCACAGATAGGTTGATATAAAATTTTTAATGTCCACGTCGGAAGGCTGTCAGTATGTCAGGATGTAAGTCCACGAGTAGTTCTTTGCCTCTAAAATGAGCCACGCGGTAAATGCGCTGGGTCAACACGGGGGCTAGATCGCAGTCCAGCAGGCGTTCTCGGGAATTCGCGCCCATGGCAAATGCCAACATTTAGGGTGCGACGTGACCCCCATGTGCAGGCTGACGCCTCGCCCATTTGGACCCCTTGCCGCCCCCCCCACTTTTTGCCGTTGTTCAAAATCCTGGTTTTTTGTAGACCAGGGGATGTGGTGGTACGCCTGGGTGCAAGTTTCGCCGTGCCAACCATCTGAAGCCTCTCCCGCCCCCAGTCTTCTTGACTTAGTCATGACACCTTGCCCAAGTGGGGGAGAAGGGGAGAGTGCGGTAGATGCTGTGCAAGCCCACGTTCACTATAAACTAAATGACGCTCAAGTCGCCGTCCCTGCTCCCGCCTTGCTGTGGAGCATAGGGTGGACATTGTCGGCAACGACGGTTGAACTGTCCACAAGTGGTTCACCAAAAATGTTGTTCAAAAATAATCTGGAGTCTCACTCACTGGTTGAGCAGTCCTGTCACCGCCTTTGTTAGGTTGAGACGGTTCGGGTTTGTTTGCCAAAAGAGGGGAAAGTAGGCGAAGGCTATGACTGGCCTAACTGCCAGTTCACCGTCTTCAACTGTCATGTATCGTCCTCCGTGGAGGTCATGCTGGAACACCAGAATATCGTGTGACTGTCTCCAGGTCTCCAAGCTGTGGTTCACGTGTTCAAGTAGGGCATACATTAAACCGCGCAGCGTTGAGTCACCTACGAATAGCACCTGCACAAAATTCAAAGGCATTTTGGACAGAAATTAGCTTGCATTTTATCGCCACGGTTCCAGTCACAAGTGAAAAAAAACAGGGCACACAGCTATGGAATGGCCCGAGTAAGTGCCACTGGGTAGCCGTAT